TAGAATGAAATATTCTTTATAAGGGTGTGGAAACCTCTCCCTAGTAGACGCATTTTAAAAACCTTGAGGGGAAACCCGAAAGGAAAAGTCTAAAGAGGACAATATTTACTAGCAGTGGGTTTGGGCCGTTATAAATGATATCAGAGCTAGACACCAGGTGATGTACCAGCAACGAGGCTGAGCCCCTTCGAAGGTGGACACAAGGCGGTGTGCCAACAAGGACATTGGCACCGAAGGGGAGTGAATTTTGAGATCCTACATCGATTGGAGAGGAAAATAAAACATTCTTTATAAGGGTGTGGAAACCTCTCCCTAGCATACGCGTTTTAAAAACTTGAGGGAAAGCCCGAAAGAGAAAGCTCAAAGAAAACAATATCTACACTTAGGCGGTTTAAACAGGTCCAAATAATCAGCCAAATGTTGTCAAAATGAGTCATGATGCATGAACTCTGATATTCAAAGTTCCATGATAATGGGGTGTACTAAAACATTCCCTTCATCAGTTCATCCACCTCAATAATTTTCGTACTTGAGTTCCTTTCTGTCTTCCCCAATTAAAAAAAACGATTCCCTTTGTCGGAGTAGAGTTCTACTTCTACACATAATAGAAGAAAGAGAGAAATAAAGGTCACAGATTTGTCTTAGACATTTTAACAAACACCATGCATACGTTTGGTATATGTTCAGAGATCTTTACCTCGCAGCTGGCTCCAAGCGAAAAGCGTAGGCCAGCAGGGCAAGAAGTTGTCTAGAACCAAGCGGGCAAGTCCAATTGAAGTCCACGTGACCTTCAAAACCATGGCAACAAAACTGGTGTCCTCGGCAACGAGCGGCCATTGAAGACACCGAAGCGATTGGATTGGTCGTGTCGATGTCGAAGCCCGCATGGATGAACCCTAGTAGACCCCAGAAGGATGTTTACTGACAAGAAAGGCTGGCATTTGCAGGAGAAGCATATTGTACAGCTCGATCGCAATCCGCCATTGATTTTGTTACACATTTTTGAAGCCCTAGAAGAAAGGAATATATGTAATCCGAATTTCTTCAAATATTTCTTCAAATATCGTGAAGAGATCACATGAACACCAAACCTTTTTTCCTTTCTGCTCAATCATTGTTCGTTTATCTTCTTCTTCTCGGAGACATTTGATTAGGTCGGATCCCGTGATTGATCTCTCCGCATCGAGAAAGTTCTCAACTCAAATTCAATTGTTGGTAATTGAAAAAGTTCATACAAATCAATCCAAATTAAGTATTAAATTTTGATAAGTACATGGATTTATACTATTTTTTTCAAATAATTTTCCATTTTTAAATTTTGTTAAGAACTCTATCGTGTAAGAATAGGTGTATGGACCGTTCGTTCGAATCCACCAATCAAAATAAAAGGTCTCGAAGTCATCTATTTGAATCTCTGTTTCTCAACCATGTTCTTCGTAATCATCGTGGTTGCCTACAAGGTTGTAGCGAAATTAGTCGTGTTAAGGCAACAACAACGCCTCCAGACATCTTTGTCTGATCCTCGAGTTTTTGACCTTAATGTCGGTTTTGAAAATTTTTTTAGGAGTGTCGTGGGTGACATAATTATATATATATATATATAGAGAGATATAAAAAGTGAGATCGACGACACAAATGACCCACCATTAATTAAATGGTGGCGAAAGGGCTTACTGGTGGGGTAGGAAATGAAAATGTTTATGTTCAAGTAATCCTTGACTGAAAAAGACCATAAAATCTTGAGCGGTATTGATACGTTTGCATGAAATCCTACTCGATCCATCGTGTTTGGAACACATACGAGCAGTGGGACATTTTTTTTGTCGGGATCTTTTCAAACTCTCACGTCAAACACTACCTCGATCAATCAGTTGACATACTCGTAAAATGAGTTATTTGCTTGAAGAAATTATTTAAAGAGACAGTCCTAATCTATAAGACGATTTTATATGGATTGATGTATGAGAGATAAACTGCAAAAAAAAAAAAAAATAATAATAGTCAAACGGAGCGAGAAAGTCAACTCATCGAGTCTGAAATTGATTCTTGGCTTACTTTCCCTTAACCTAGTAACTTTGCACGGTGTGTTCTTTAGTCAAATCCCAATTTCAACCCATTTCTTTGTCTTATCAAAAAAACGAGCTCAAAGATGTCGTTGAAGGCTGCAAATTCAAAGAAGAATTCGATGATGCCAATGTTGGATCCCCCACACGATAGTGAGGAGAAAAAGCAATAAAAAGCTCTTATGAGGATCTGCCATGACCGAATGAGGTGTCTATGTTGCCCTCTCGTACATGACTTACACAGATACGTGTGCTCACATATAAAGTTATCGTTTGATTTCTCAAGGCTTTCTAATTGACGTATTTTTTTTTATACTTATTTTGGTGTTTAGAAGAATTTGGCGTGTATATGTATATATACATGTATATATATTTGTATATATATGTGTGTATATATATATATATGTAATTTTTTTTTAATTTGGCATGTATATATATATATATAAATAAATGAAATGGTCATAAATAGATTTAATTAAGTTTTGATGGCCAAAAAATAAAAAAAAATGGACATTATTGAATTATTTGATTTAAAGATATTAAACTTTTATTTTCCAACAATTTCAGTAAACGGCGTCGTTTCAGAGGGAGAGGCAGTTAAAGCCGGTTGAAACAGTTAGCGCCACGTAACCCAGAAATAACGGCCATCTTCTCCACGACCGTACCAGAGGCAGAAACGAAAAGAAGAGAAAAAAAAGTCAATTAAAAAAAAGAAAAAAAAAATCTTGAGGAATTGCCTCCGACAGAAGCTCCGAATGCTTCTCTTTCTTCGAAAAAAAAAGAGCCAAACCCTAAAACTCTCCTCCAACTCTCACAATCTCCATCGCCATTTTCATCTCTCCTTAATCTAAGCATCTCTCCCGTCTCCCAAATCCATGGCAATCGACGGCGTTTGCACACTCGATGTCGCCGATTTTCCGCCGCTTCCGGTGGTCGAGAAGCGTCGCCGGTCATTCTCGCTGCTCTTGTCTTCTTTGATGATTGTTGGATTCTCGAGGAAGAGTGGTTTGTATCGGCAGCTTCCGCATCAGCCTCTCGAACTCTCCGTCCTGAAATTGGATGGCTCTTGTTTTGGTAATCTTTAGTTCCGTAATCGATTCGTTTTTTTATATGATTAAGAGCAGAGGAATCTCTGGTTTTGGTTTTATTGTGTTCATCTGATTTTGAGGATGTCGAAGGTTTCTACATTGTTCTATTCTCTGTTTTTTTCCCCTTTTTTTCTTTATATGGTGTTTGGTTGGTTTTGTGTTTCTTCTATTATTGAGGATTATTGAGAAAAGTAGTCATACCACGCTGGCTTTATAGGTAAAGAATACAATCTCCATTGGTATGAAGTCTTTTGGTAAAATCAAAAGAAAAATCATGAGAGCTTATGCTCAAAGTGGACAATATCGTACCATTGTTGAGAGTCGTGATTTCTAACATGGTATGCCTTTCATTTAGACATGCCAATAGAATCCTCAAGTGTCGAACAAAGAAGTTGTAAGGTTCGAAGGTGTAGTCAAAGGTGACTCAAGTGTCGAACAAAAGGTGTACTTTGTTCGAAGACTCCAGAGAAGGAGTTGAACCTCGATTAAGGAGAGGTTGTTTGAGAGCTTCAGAGAAGGAAGACTTAGGGGAGGCTCTATAGTGTGCTTTGTTTGAGGGGATGATTGTTGAGGATTATTGAGAAAAGTAGTCTCACCTCGCTAATCAAGAGAAAGATTATGAGTTTATAAGTAAGGAATACTATCTCCATTGGTATGAGACTTTTTGGGAAAACTAAATGAAAAACTTCGATAGTTTATACTCAAAATGGACAATAATCATACTATTGTGGAGGGTCGTGATTCCTATCCTTCTTTTGCTTGGAATTTTCTTATTTAACAACAAAAGTTTATAAACTGATGCGCTAAATTTGAAAATCAAGAGAAAGATTATGAGTTTATAAGTAAGGAATACTATCTCCATTGGTATGAGACTTTTTGGGAAAACTAAATGAAAAACTTCGATAGTTTATACTCAAAATGGACAATAATCATACTATTGTGGAGGGTCGTGATTCCTATCCTTCTTTTGCTTGGAATTTTCTTATTTAACAACAAAAGTTTATAAACTGATGCGCTAAATTTGAAAAATAAGAATGTCTTCGTGCACCATCTTTTAATCTAGGAGGACTTCAATGAATTGAGATGTTTTGACACAGATATTCGAGTTAAGAGATCTGCTACTGTTGCTGAATTAAAGGGGGCAGTGGAGGCAGTCTTCAGCGACATGCCACAAGATGGACCAGGAAAGATTTCATGGTTAGTTCATTTAATTCTTTCTCATTTGATGCTTTCATTTGCTAGAAGATGGGTCGGGCGGTGTGCCAGCGAGAACGCTGAGCCTCGAAGGGAGTAGACACTAAGTGATGTGCCAGCTAGGACGCTGAGCCCTAGAGGGTGGTGGATTATGAAATCCCACATCGATTGAAAATGAACAAGTGCTAGTAAGGATGCTGGACTCCGAAGGGGAGTGGATTGTGAGATCCTACCTTGGTTGGATTGATTGGAGAAGAAAAAAAACATATTTTAACTTCTGTTCTTTATTTATTCATGGAGGCTCCATGTGTGGTGCCATTTCTGCTTATGCTATGATGGTCAGAAGTTGATTGATGATACGGGCTACATTGCAAAATTAGGCATCAAGGATGGTGATCAGGTATGCAGTTAGCTGTAGTTTATGTTGTCTTTTGTTGGGTTGATAATCATTCTGTGCTTGATGATTTAAAATTCGTGTGATGTCATGTATTGACAAGTTGTGCTCTGCGTGTAACACCCTAAGCGCCAGTAGATATTGTCTGCTTTGACCCATTACGTACCGCTGTCAGCCTAACGATTTTAAAATGCATCTGTGAGGGAGAGGTTTCCGTACCCTTATAAGGAATGTTTCGTTCCCCTCTCCAACCGATGTGGGATCTCACAATCCACCTCCATTGAGGTCCAGCGTCCTCGCTGACACACCACCTAATGTCTGGCTCTAATACCATTTGTAATAGCCCAAACTCACAGCTAGCAGTTATTGTCCGTTTTAACCCATTAGGTATCACCATCAGGCTCACAGTTTTAAATCGCGTCTGTTAGGAAGAGGTTTCCACACCTTTATAAGAAATATTTCGTCTCCCCTCCAATCGATGTGGGATCTCATAATCCACCTCCTATGGAGGCCCAGTGTCCTCGCTGACACAATCCATTGTCTGACTTTGATACTATTTGTAACAGCCGAAGCTCATCGCTAGCAGATATTGTCCACTTTAGCTTGTTAGGTACTGCCGTTAGCCTTACGATTTTAAAACACGTATGTTAGAGAGAGGTTTCCACACCCTTATAAGGAATGTTTCGTTCCTCTCTCTAACCGACGTGGAATCTCAAATTGGGATGAGGTCTGTTGTTGATCATTGTGATACATTATTGTGAATTTAGTAACCATCAGGAATGTCATTGCATATGTTCATAGAATTTCCTTGTTTCAACATATCAGCTTCAATTTGTCCGGCATGTCACAACTGGCTACAATGTTATAAGAAAGCAATCAAAGAAAGGCCAGGTTTCCCCAAAACTGCACAATAGGTAACACTAATACACATTTGTTGCTTATCAACAATGAGTTAAGCCTCATGCTGCATACAACACATTCGTTCATCACTTTTTACTGATCCTTAGATCCTTTTTGCTCTAAACAATCAGGACATCATCTCTATCAAGAAACTATGATCAGGACGATATAGAGAGTGGAAGGATTCAACATCATGGCAACAACCAACTCTTCAAACACCACGAGCCAAAGATGGTGGTCTTTTTGGGAGGGTGGTTCTCCCACATCAAGCTGGCATCTGCAGGGAAAACGTGCATCGAAAGCTTGGTTCGTTCGTCGGGAACTCGGCATAGTCTGGTTCATGGTTTTAAGAACTTAATTCAACTATGCCGCCAGAAACAAAATTATCAGAAAGTGAGTAAAAGGAAGAGATCCATCCTTGGTGTCTGAATAGATTAGGAATGATTGAAACATATACACACACATACACACAGGTCTACTAGATTGTGTTATAGTCTAATCTCTGAAGTGTTTGTTCATATCCTTATAGCAATAAGCTGTTGTAGATATTTCAGCATTCACAAAAATGGGTACCAGAATTTGTGCAGCCTAGTCAGTCGGTGATTATTGTTTTCGTGGTTGAAGACAATGATAGATATGAAGATTTGAACGTCTAACCTCAAGAGAAAGAATATAGGTCGAATACCGTTGAGGTAAGCTCGTGTTAGTATCTAGTCACGAGATTATAGATCGATATAGGAGAAGCATTGTATCAAATACTCTAGTTTTGTCTTTCTTCTTGTCATCTTCATTTTACTCTTTTGTTTGTAATGTTCTAAAATATTGGTGAATTGTAAGTAGCTTCGTTGCTGGTGTGGGTTCTAAATTCCTTGTGTTTTACAAGTTTGATGTCCTAAGTCTCTGAAAACGATAATTAATGTTTTATCTATTAAGATAAACTAAATTCATATAAACTAAAGAAATAATAATTAAAAAAAAAAAAAAAAAACCTAAATGGGTATAGTTTTGCAATCGGCAATTGCTGAGTAAAACTTCTCAAAGATCTCCAGTTAAATTGATTATAATTCAAAATTTTAACTTAGTCGTAATTGTAGAAGTTTCATTATTGACATGTTAGAGGAATGTATGCTTCGACACTCGAGCGGGTGAGTTTCGGGTTGGCAATTGGTCACTGGATATGTTTAAAGGAAGCATTCTGAGACCCCGATTTGAATGGCCTCATAAAAAAGGAGGTGCTTGGGCTACGAGAATGATTTGGTGGATCCTTGAAACAGCCCAAGTCCACCGCTAGCAGATATTATCCGATTTATCCATTTTAAAACACGTCTGTTAGGAGAGATTTCTGCATTCAAATACTTTGTTCTCTTCTCCAACCAACGGGGGATCTCACAGTCCTACCCATTCACTTTCTCATGGTCAAGTTCCCTGGGATTCTCTCTTTCTTTTACATACATGACCGGTCGAGGCAGTTAATTTCAGCACTTGAGTAACAACATCTTGAGGATTTTCACTGGTCAGTTAGACCAGTTTTGATAGCATTTGGGCAGCAATGAAGCTGGGATTTGCATTTGAGAAGAAAGTGAAGGTCAGAATGCCAATAATCCAGCTTGGATTCCTCCACCTGTGAAGAACATTCTTTACACAGATGGCATTGGCACGGTCGCTTGATGATTCCATGGCCAGTTCGTTGTTCCATCAGCTCAAAAGCATGCCAAGTTATCTGGCTAGATTATCTTTACTCCCAGCTCCATGTCAATGGCCCTGTACAGTTGTGAAACAAACAAACAGTAAGAATGTGATGTACAGAAGAACAGTATGTTGTTTGAATAAAACTGGTCATATGTTTACAGTAAAAAGAGGTTTTACTATATGCCTTTTATGTTGTCTGGTGGATGGGGCCAGGCCTTGGACGCTGAGACGGTACCAATTTTGCTACTAAATCACAAGTTCAGCCTCAAAATTGAATTTTAAAAAGCATTTTAAAAGAAAGAAGAAACCAAATCAAATTTCTTGTACTACAATTTTAGAAGACCTTTTGAACGGCAGCAGAATTGCTTCTACAAGGTAAAATCATCAACTGAATTAGCTTGAGATGGAAAAATTATACCAAATCTAAGCAATATTTACAAAAAAAGAAAGAAAAAAAACTCCCTTTATTCATGTCGATAATCTCCATTAATCCGCATTACCAAATATACCAGCCTCCTTCAAGAGCTGTTCAGTTAGAGATGAAAGATGGGTAACTTCCAGCTTCACTTCATTCAATCTTTGGTTATAATCGAGCATGTTTGTTCGGGTATCGATATCGATGACGACGATGTCGTCGTTGTGTTTAATGCTACTTGAATCAGTATCAGCCTTGAGGCTTTGGCTAGCTTTATTCAGAAGCTCTCGACTCATGTCCGTAAGTTTCTGAAGAGCATTGGTTGCTGCTTCAACCTCTAGTTGAGCAGCTTCAACTTGAAGCCTTTCAATTGCCAAGTCCCCAATGTTGTTGCCCTCCTCTCCAACGCCGTCTTGTGCCAAAGCGTAGAGATTTTTCAGATCCTCAGCTTCTCCATCCATTTCTTCCTTAATCTTCTCAAATTCTTTCTCCTTTGTATCTAATCTTTTGAGAACCATTTTTAGTTCCTCATCTTTAACAGTCAGGGCCCTTTCTGCAGCTAGAATTTCCATTTCTTTCTGTCTCAAGCTTTCCTTGGTGAGCTCTAGCTCGGTTTCGAGCTGTTTCTTCTGCAATCTCATGTTATCTTTAGGTTTCTTGAATAACTGCTGCTGTAGGTTGTTGCTCAGATCATCATTTAGTTGCAAAACATCATAGTCCTTATCTTTGATTGAGATCACTAGCTTATTTGTGAGATCCACAATCTGTTCTACCATGGCTTCTGCTTCAGAAACTTTCAGCTTTGTGTCGTTTAATTCGTTTTGCATTATCTGAACACATTCATCTTTCTCTTTCAGCATAGCAGTTGTCTGATTGAGCTGGGTCTCTTTACTACTCATAAGCGATTGTAGCTCAGCAATTTCCTGGTTTAATTGCTCAATTTTCTTTTGTGCATCAAGTATTTCCATGTCTTTCTCCTCCAATAGAAGTTGAAGTGAAACCTGTTCGGATTTCAAATGCTGGATTTCTAACTTGGCCTCGACCAACTCCGATGCTTTCTTTTGAAGGAGATTGTGGGTTTTCTCAAACTCAGTATTTTTATGCTCCAGCTCCTTCTGTAGACGTGATTTCTCCTCAGTTGCTTGCTGGAGAGAGGATCTTTCTCTCTTCAGCTGCTGTTGCAACTCATCAGTAAGCTTCTTTTCCCTAAACAAGTCACGTCCAAGCTCCTTGTTCTTAGCCTCAGCGACCCTATGCTTCACTCTCTCACTCTCTACTTCTATTTGAGCATCTTTTAAACTTGACATATATGCATTGATGATCTTCTTCTGTTCTTCAAGTTCTGCCATTTTCTTCTCAAGAAGACCTTCTTGTTCTTCTGTTTTCTTTCTGGATGACACAAGAGACTTCTGAGAGGAAACCAACTCACGTTTTACATCGGTAAGAAGCTTCTTCGTTCGGTTGGAGTCATTCATAGTTTCATTCCTCTCTATTGCTTTTGCAGACGCTTCGTTTCTCAGTTTTTTCAGTTCTTCACGTTCTAACAACCATTCCATGGTTCTCTTCTCCAAATTTTTCTCTGCAACTTCCAGTTTCTCTTCTTCAAGTTTATGAAGCTTTATGGAAATTTCCAGCTCTTTTTCTTTCTCTAGAACAGCCTTTTTAAGCATTTGCAGCTCAACTTCTTGTCTTTTCACTACATCGTTAGCGTCATTCAGAAGCTGGGACTTGGATTTAAGTTCAGAATCTGTCTTAACAGCTTCCTTACTCTTCTTAACCAAATCAGCTCTCATTTTATTCAACTCATCTTGTTTCAGAGCAAGGGCAGATTCAGCTGCAGCAATCCCCTCGTCTTTCTCTCTAATTTGAAGTTTCAATTCATCTATCTGTCTAGCTTGAGAAGCTAGGTTTAAATTTGCCTGCTTAAGCTCATCTTCTAATTCTTGCTGTTTATGATAAGCAGCAGTAATTTCTTCCTCCTGCTTCTTCAACTTCTCCCTCGCATTGTTTAATTGGCTTCGTTCTAATAGAACTGTTCTTTCTGCATCTTGTAGATCTTCTTCCTTCTTTTTCAACACTGCCAATGCAGCCTGAAGATCCGACTCGAGATTTTCGAGACTGAGTCCTAACCAAACATCTTGTGGAAAGTGAGGATCTTTGCTTACATGTTCTTCCAATCTCTGTGTCTGGGCAAACAATCTCTCCAGAAGCACTTTTGCTTCTTCACTTGCCCCGCTGTCGTTTGACTTGCAGGTATTCAGCACTGACTGGAAAACCTTCAGTGACTGAGATCTTCTTCGCCGGGTTGTGATAGATGCAAGTTTTGTCTGATTCCTACCGAAACTCAGAGATGACCTCTGGACAGAAAATAAAATGCAACAGTGAGTAACAGTTTCGGAAGATTCCAGTGAGATAATAGAGAAAATCATGACTACCTAGTTCATTTACTTCCAACAAGATACATGACGTGATAAAATATAGCATCAGCAGGATGAAAGAAGAATATTCCCATAGCTAAGAGAAGAGCATGGATTGGCAAAAAAAAAATACATACTATGCTCTATAAATCTTTATCATTCAAGAAGTTAATCTCTCTCAAAATCATTCGACAATAATCCAGTACCGATATCAAAATGTAATACTACAACAACAAGAAGTAAAAAATGCTCCAAATTCTATTTCAATCTTCATCGGTTCAAGAAGTTCATCTCTCTCCCAATCACATCTCTAGTGACTTCTCAACGTCAACAAAAATAAAAGATCCTAAAAAAACTCGAGGAAGTTTCAGGCCATTAAACTCAATACCGAAAACAACATCGAATTTCACAAACTTAACAAACAATTATAGAAAAAGATGCGGAACCAGATTAGAAAGAGAACCTTGGAATGGCAGAGAGAGCAAGAGGCGGAGATGTGGAGATGAATAGCCGCCGTAGACGCCATGGAACGCCGGTGAAGCACATCCGTGCACAAACAAAGACGACTTGTTGTTCGTTGCCAAATCCAATCAATCTAACAAACACATCAAAGTGAAGATAGATTTCAGTCTCACGAGACAATCAACTCGAGCCCAAACTTTCCTGCCAGGTCAGGGAAAAGCGCGGCGGAAGAGAATCACAGAAGCAAATGAGCGGTTGAATTGGAGACAAAAGCAAATGAAAGGAGGGAAAAAAAGGAACGGAAAAGAAAAAGGCGAAATGGCGCACGTTAGTATATGCTAAATTACGCACCTCTGGACTTCCTGGGATTTTCTAATACGACGGGTTTGTTACGTGACGGAGCTCTAATAGCGAGGACTGGTAGTTGCCCGAACCACTGAAATAGCGCCACGTGGCATGGTTATTATGGAAATTTATTAGTAGTTCTATAGATTAATATTAATAAGATAACTGATAACCGATAAATTTTTAGTCCTTCCTTCCCGTTATGAAATTTAATTTATAAAGAATATTTTAAAGCTGATGTGATTGACAATGAAATTAGAATTTATTCTAGGAAACTTTTCCAACAAATTAAAGAGAATATAGATTTTCGATAATTTTTAATATCGGGATTATAAATTTTTTCACCTCGACTAATATTTATTAAATAATGAATTCAATTCAATTGTGTCACCCCTAGAACTATAAAAACGGGTCAAGGTAGATTGTCCTACAAGCTTCTGGTACACTTGTTACAGTTTTGACTACCCAATAATCAATTTGGTCCCGAGGCAAGGAATAACCCGTTACATCAAAGGATGTAGTCAATACAGCCAAAACCACACCTGTAACCAAGTCAATTCACGAGGTTTTTTAAATCCACCAGTAAGATACACGTGAAATACGTGCAGGATCATCATTAAGACCATTATACTTGTCGACCATCTATGAACTGATCAAATTAACCGACCAATGTTAGCTTCCGACATTATATATTGAACAAAAGCAAAAGCTTTAGTAAGGGTCTGACATAGTAAAAAGTCACAGCAAACTCTGTAGCTACTTGTACTAAAAAATATTTACTTATTTCGAGAGATTTGCAATTGAATTTTTTTAAAAATTATTATCCAAATACTTTAGGTTAAAAGTGGTTGAGAATAAAGAATAAAAAGAATTATCGTAGAATTAAATAAAATTATAATAAATATATGTATATCCAGTTGTATTATAGGACTTTTTTTATTTGTTTATTATTTTTTACAATAAGTTCTAATTGATTCAATTTAAGTCAAACTAATTTATGGAAACCGGCCAGTTGTGCGGGCCTCCCGCTGGGGCCCGCTATGCCAAAAGCAAGAGAAATTCCATCCCTCACTGTCCTTTTTTTGCCCCCATATAGCCACACAGAAGGGACATGGAGACGTAAAAAAGAACATTCTATCAACTTGTTTCGACCTAGGATAATAAGCTCATGAACGTATTCTTACTTCACCGTCGAGAAACAAAAGAAGACTTCTATCTCCAAGTTTAACTCAGACGTACCTCGCTTCTTTTTAGGTGTGAAGCAGTGTCCAACCAAAATACCTAATAAGCATTACCCTTATAAGGAATATTTTGTTCCACTCCTCAATCGGTGTGAAATCTCACCATTCACCCTCTTTAGGGGTCCAACGATCGATGTAGAATCTCACAATCTACCCTTATTGGGGGCCACCATCCTCCCGTTGACTCTGATACCATTTGTAACAATCAAAGCCCAAAATAGCTCGAAAGTTAGGGAGATTCAAATAGACGTAAAAATAAAACAACATCATAGGAAGAGCCAAATAGCTCGAAAGTTAGGGGTATATGAGCCTCCCCCTTATCAGTTGTGTAGGGCCTCCTAATTTACAAGGTAACATTCCCTAAAGAAAAGAACATCGTGGGAGGAAGATTTTGGCTTTAAGAAGTCAAGACAGCAAACAGCAATCGCCTATACCATACCAAGCAGGCAGCATTATTTTATCCAAAGATGTGCAAAATGGCTACCGAATCAACAAAAAAGGATTTCTTATATTTAAGGGGAAGGAGGGGAAGAACAAAGAGAAAGGGAAAAAAAAAGGAAAAGGGGAGTAATATACTGATTCAAAAGGGAATCATGTTGTGGTATTTACTCTACTATTTTGTGAAGAAGAAGCCTCTGCTGCTCCATTTCCTCAACCTACACGTTTTCGGTGAACGTGTCTTTAAGTATCATCCTCAACTCTGCCTCTACCTTAATCGATCCTACTCGCCATCCTGAACATCATCATTTGTCGTTGAAGTAGCAGTTTGGTTGCTGTCGGACAGAAGATTTGCCTGAACAGTTTATCCCAAGAAACGTTTTAGTTATGAACGAAAGAAAACCGTAAAGCACATAATGAAACAGGCGTAAAGCAGCAGGACGATACAGCTACACTAAAGAAACTCGGGACCGCGTGCCTTCACCAACAGAGCTGCGCCTTGGGGTCAAATATTACTATCATTAGGGTATTAAGAGTACATTACTCATGAGCCAAGGGGGTTGGTAGTAGAATAGTGGGAGGTTGGTTACTAGAGGGGATGAGGAGCCAATGGTTTAGTTAGTTTAGACATGGAAGCATGCACAAATAGCTCTACAGCATAAAAGATACATATCAAAACATGTTGGATACCTCGGCCAGAAGGAAATTTAGTCGGTCTTCGGATGTAGTCAGCACATCCAACGCATTAGACAGGGATGACGATTCCTCTATATGGTTATAATCATCTACTGTAAAATTCATGCTGCAGCTTTGAAGCCGACCATGTATGCTCCTACATTCAGACAGCAGCTTTCTCCAAGCTGTGTTTGCATGCTGTCTCAGTTCTCTTTCCTGTTGAAGGAATTCCTGAATGAGGAGAAAAAGAACAGGACATATCAAAATTTGACTCTTCAGTCCGTTAAAACATGCCGATTAAAATTTCTCAGTCAATAAACCGAACAGATATTGCAAACCCAATGCTCGGATAGAGAAAAATGCTCATGTTTTACTTAGTAAAAAGTAGATGAGATATGAGCAAAATGCAGAGCGAGTAACCAAAGCACAACTTTTTGTCGATGTTGAACACGTGCGTACATGTGGCAGAAAACGGGAAAAAGTCTATACGAGCTTAAACTTTTGTTTTTGTTTAACACCTTAGTCTAAGAACAATTAGAAGATTGCAGTGTTACCTCGGTCTCGGACTTCTGTTGAAGTGTTTGACTAAGCTCTTGTTTAAGTTTGGCTTGGGTACTTCGAAGAGATTTAACCTCTTTAACAAGAACCCTGATATCTGCTTTTGATTTTCCTTCAAGCTCTTCAAATCGCTTAGAAACATTTTCTAGTTGATCTTTTGTGGAATCAAGCTCTTCTTGCAAGGAAACTTTCTCCTGGAGGGTAAATTCTTTCCTAGGCACTGAAAACGAGTTTTCACCCTAGAGCATTTCGAGTATCATCGAATAGAGTTAGTAAAAAATAGTGAAAGGAATGAGTTAAATATAGCCAATTTAGAAGATTAAAAACCTCTTTAGACTTCAACTTTAACTCCATTTCGAATGATTTGTGACGAAGTTCCTCCATTTCCCACTGCATTTGGGTAACTTTTTCCCTCTCCATCAAAATAGCTTGTTGAAGGTTTTCTTTACTCTTCTGCTTGTTTGTTTCGAGTTCTACTTCCAAATCCTTAACCTGGGAACAAATTGCCACAAGATGAATTAGGTTTCTGTCAGTGTCCAGTATGAAACCACAAGCAGCACCATAGTAAAATGGAGCTAGTTATGCGAAAGTTACGATAGCTGGTCCATAAAAACACTATCCATTGGCACGGAAAATATTGAATCAAAAAATGATTTGGCATTCGGTTAACGATACTAATTAATGTATGGAACAGCTGGTATCTGTTTCTCGAGACAGAGCAAACAACGTAGCCACTCATAAGAAACTTCGACAGCCGATGGCTATGTGTTGAATAGAATTACGCAAAAAGAAATAGATATCCTCAAGTGCCCTAAGAGAGTAGATATATTGTAACATTTACCCCAAGGACAGACAGCTAATCATTATGGAATAAACAAAATTTCTAGCATACCATTGTCGCAAGGTAATCTTTCACAGTTATTTCCTGGTTCAATCTTGATATAAGGTCCTCCATGTCTGTTCTTGCGGTCACTAGCCTTTGATGCATTGTTGAAAGAACCCTATTCATTTTATGGCGATGATCCTTTGGGAGGAGCAGTGCATCACGTGAAAAATGCAATTCAGGGTTGCTATGAATTTCAATTGCATTTGAAACCTCAGCACTCGAATGGTCAAGTGAGCCATTGCCTATCGAATTTGAACATGAAAAGCTTGAAATTTCTCCACCCCTCAGAGAACTTGCATCACTTGCCACACTCTCATCAGACAGCTTTTGTGCATGACCAATTACCTCGCCATGCTCGGGCTCTGCAAAAGGTACCAGTCCATTTTTATCCAAGTACGATGCCTTGGAAGTATTACCATTGTGCCCATCCTTTAAATTGTTGTTATATCTAGGATGAGCTTTATGTTTTGGAAGGCCTTCCAACTGCTCTAGAATGGTCTGCCCCATAAACAGCCCCTCATCAATATTGGACAATCCATACTTCACAAGTTTTTCGATTGGACTAGAAAGATCATCCTCCATGGCTAAATCATCAATGGCAATTTCAGAACTATCATCTCTTCCCAGACTTGCTGTTCCAAGTTCAGAGGCCTCATAAGCAGTATCACTACCATAATCTGATGCCAGCGACAAACCACCAACAACAGTAGATGAGCTTGAATTAGGAGGGGATTGATGTGCAGAAATTTTGCAGTTATAATCAGGGTATTCACCTGAAGGCTCCTGATTATCATTTTGGAATGCTGAAAGAATTGTGACAGGAATTAAAATGTTAAAACTCCAATATATAGATTATGGAGAACTGCATGTAATGGCGTTTAGAATTAGAACTTCCAAGGGTAAAAACTAGATAATACAAAAGCAAAGACATTTTTGAAGTATACTCTAAACAAGAAAGAACGTACATGACCTAGCAGCAGCTTCTAGCTCAAGAAAGGACGCGACTGCAACACTTCTTGAGATATCAATGTCAGACAGCAGCTTCGTCAACCATTCCTCCAAAGAACGCCTTCTCTGCAACAAAATTAAACCTGTGAAAAATAATAGTTACAGTCTTACTGATACACAACCAAAGTGCATAAATATAGAATTACAAAATGGGTAATCGTCAACACCCTCATCTCGAAACCAAAAGGTTTAGACTCGCAACTCGCTAGAACACAGTAGAACTAGGTGATTAATGATTCCTACTTTCCTTCAAAGAAATTATTGCAGAGGAATGCATGACAAATACATCAGGGTCCAAGCATACCGTGTCTAATCTTGGGCATGTCATAAGAATGTCTAAAACAGTCAGTACTTATTCTAATGTTCTTCATTCCTATATCCTGTAGAAGATGATTCTTATTTCCTTACATATTGGCGGAAGGATTGATTCATGCAAGGGTTATCAAATCATACAAAATATTTTCCAGCAAGGTTCCGTAGAGTAAACAAAGAGACTGAGGGTGAATAGAAATTAATTGATATGCTCATGTGTGCATCCTTCTGCAGATTGCCCACCTCCTCTAAGAGAGCCCTTGTTCTTATCCGCAAGATCCCCTTGGATGGAGCTGGTGGAATACTTTTCTTTGGAAAAGCCTTTTTAATCTGGCAAGTGATAAAATCTCATAACTGATAACAATTAAAAAATGGGAGTAATTTTCAATGTGAAAAGGGGTATTCCAAAATAAAATGAAAGGCGTCAACTTACATTAGAAAATAAATTTAGGAAATCGTTAAATCGCCTTAAAACTCTCAGTAGTGCTGTGATCCCCTCAGGTGACTGTACACCAACCTGAACCCTGTAGAACTGTCCCTTGATAATGTTAATGTTCAAGGAAAGAAGGAGGTGCAAAGCTATAAAATGTAAATGCTAAAAAACGGATAAGTCGATTCGAGAATTTAATTGCGCCTATATTTAGTTAATCCATCGCAGCTAGAACACATTTTCTCGCGACATCATATTTTGCAACTTCTAATAATACAGGTGATTATTCTGCATCAGCATTAACTTACTGCTACGCTGTTATTTTTAGAGGCACAAATATGCAATTAACAACATCAAACCATCAATACCAAAAGAAAACGGGGAAGTTGATAAGTATACCACTACAGGATCTGCAGCTCGTGTTTTCGGAAGGGCAACCCATGAAGGTATTATAACACAGTAACTCCATCCAGTGTGATGATCGTGAGGCCAAACTGTGTCCTTCCCATTCTGCACAAGAAATGAAAGATTTCCTAGTGAACATTAAAATAAAAATCACCAAACATAAAGAGTGCCGTGAATCGTAAAAGAAACGAGGAGATAGCTGCCATACACCACCCAACATTGACAAAAACGTAGAGATAAGCCGCAAGTTCTAACTTTCCTTCTAAAAATATCACTTAAAATGAGATAACTTTCTGACTGAAATTTCAGAGACTAGTCGTTTCCACTACAAGACACCAAAACCTTCAAGCATTCAAGCAGATCTTTATTATTATTTTTGAATGACAATTGGTATGAACAACATTGCAACCTAAAGAAAAGAAAAGGTAAAATATGGTATGGTACACCAAGAACAATGAAACTCATCAGAAGTAACATAAAGTAAATATGGTATGTTTGGACGACAACTTGAAAGTAGATTTTAATGATCGAGTTACAAATCAATGAGATCGTGATAAAAACAGTAGTAATAATTCAACGTTCCATTATCTAGCAAGCCGGACAAATAAATACAACAAAGCCAGTGAAATCTATTCGATCAATCCACGAAGAAAAATCCAAAGAAAACCCGAGGAATGTATAAAAAGTTCTCATAATCCAATTCTAAGCAAATAAATTCACATAATCAGAATCCAACACCAACCCATTTTCGAGGAGGAGGACTCCAGTCCATTCCAAGAGGCAACGGCGAGGTTCCATCATGTCTATGTTTGGGCGGACTTCGATTCTGCATCATACTTCAAATTTCTCCTAAAATTTCCACAAACTGAATACAATCATCAGGATCGGAAACACAAATTTGACGAGATCCTCTTCCTTATCCGCTACGCAATCGAATCCAATCCAATTAACCATTCGATGAACGACCTCCTGCCCGAGTTTCAGAGCAATCAGCGGCGTTTTTCCGTCGGATCGAATCGGAAAACACAAAACAAGAAGTGGAAAATCTGACAATGGACAGATGGAACTAGAATCTCACGCCAGCAAAGGGGAAAAACGTAGCCACCTGAAGCCGCGTGCAGCAAGTAAATTAGGAAATTATCTGAGCTTTGGCTTTCAGATTCTGTCTGTATCTACGAAGAGATATAGAGAGAGAATGTTAGAGAGAGAATGCTTGAGAAGCAAACACCGAACTGTCGTCGTCTCGCCCGCGACCTTCTTCCTTGAGCTTCTTCTCGGTGAAAGTATTTCCACAGTACGGAAAAAATGGCTATAAATTTATAGCCCTATTTTTCCTTTTCCAAAAATGACCCCGAATTCTACTCCTTAAATTTAAATTGGAAAAATGACCCAATATCTCTTCAGAAATTACCGTATTACCCTCTTAGGGACTATAACGAGGGAAGCTACCTTAAATAATATTTTTAGTTTTCAATTTTTAAAAATTTTAAAATAATAATTGAATATATTTTTTATTTTTTAAAATTGGATTTAAAATTACCGTATTGTCCCGTTTGAGTATAAGCTTTCATGACTTTGCTTTGAATTTTTCGAAAAGTCCAAATCAATTGAGAGAGTATTTTTTGATTATAAATCCATGATCATTTTCTAAATTAGTAGACGTGAGACTTTTATTATTTAACCATAATAACACTAAATAATATCTCTCCTCGTTAACTTACTTTATTTTAACTTTTGAAATAATAATTGAAAGAGAAAAAAAGTTGGAACCAACTTTCTAGCTCATTCCCGCTGTGTTGGCAATCTTGATTTTTTAAAAACCTAATTTCGATTTCTTCCTCTCTCTCTCTTTCTCCCCGATAATTTTCAACGCCTGAATTTGAAACTGCCGGTGAGGAATTCAAGATCCCGATCTTCCAGCACGTAGCAGCTGCGTCAGCTCCACTCATCGACCTGCTTCTTGCAGTCAATCGATCTTATCTCCACTCTCATGGCGATAATTTACGCGTTGGTTGCCAGGGGATCGGTGGTTCTGGCCGAATTTTCTGCTACTCCGACGAATGCGAGCTCGATTTCTCGTCAAATACTCGATAAAATTCCGGGAAACGATGATTCTCATGTTTCCTACTCGCAGGATCGGTATCTCTTTCATGTCAAGCGTACCGATGGCCTTACGGTGCTCTGTATGGCCGATGACACTGCCGGAAGTGAGTATCGCTCTCTCTGTTTTTGTCAATTTTTTAATTGCAGTCTCGTTGTTGAGAATTCGGTTTCATTTCCGTTTTTTTGTGATGATGTGTTGTGCAATTAAGTAGTCTGGTGCAAAATACTGGATAATTTTTGTTTGGTTATTTTGTAGTTGCACTGTACAGCATGCTTGTTGATTTCTGTATGTTGCGGGAGACCGAGAGCATAGTCTTCGAGTTTGAAGATGGAGAGTATGTTTAGCTTTAAGGACGGTTTATTTCATAGATTATACGTTGTTCTTGGAGAAATCTGTTGATTTGCTTGGTCTGTTTGTTCACCGTTAATTCTCTGCAATTGTTGCTTGATTAGTTTGGATGATCGCCAAGAGAAAGTATCTCTAGATTTTGGATGACATTTATATATGTATAGAATCTAGACGATATTTTAATTTTCGTGATTTTCAATTCATTTCAAGTGACATCAAAATGACCAGTGCGAGGGATTTTGTTACTATCTTGTGAAATATACCTGCATGAAGAATCACTGAAATGTTTATCAATCTTGATCTGCTTTGCCCCACCGACAGTAAAATTCAGTCAATTTAGTTTTGAGTTCTACTGGCAATGACAACTTGGTATCTTCAGGGAGGATTCCTTTTGCATTCCTTGAAGATATTCATCAGAGATTCGTAAGGACATATGGCCGTGCAGTTCATTCAGCCAATGCTTATGGCATGAACGATGAATTCTCAAGAGTTTTGAGTCAGCAAATAGAATATTACTCCAACGACCCAAATGCAGATAGGATCAACCGGCTGAAAGGTGAAATGAGTCAGGTGACTACTAAACTATTTCAAGTCTTTATTTGTGTACTCTTATACAGCACAAGATAGCAAGCAGCAACTTCTTAACTTCGCTTACTCTAGGATGTAATGGGGCGACACTCATATTTTAAATCTGGGTGGATCGAGGGTGGGGCGGGTTGTTTGGAATGATAAAGACTGTGAGAAAGCTTGTTTAGTTTGTTGCATTCTATTAGTTTCTGTTGGCCTTTTGGGTGTGACACTTCCAGTACCTTATTCTAATATTCCATCATAATTATTCAGCCACTCTGCTATCAGACAATGATATAGTGTTTCTTACCATACTTGACAATTGGCATTAGTATCATATAAGAAAACAAAATAGTGTATGTTACTCGGGAGGAAGAATAAATTTGGCCAAAAGAAGTATAATGAAAAAGTTGTTAAAGAAGAAAAAAAATATAGATCCAGCCTCAGCTTTCTAATACATGTCAATCTTGGAATGTATATTGTATAATCTTTCACCGTAAATGTTTAGCTTCCTAGTTATGCAATTAGCACATGTTATTGATGATTAATAGTTATTATGTTTTACAGGTGCGAAATGTCATGATAGAGAATATTGACAAAGTTTTAGAGCGAGGCGATCGCTTGGAGCTGCTCGTGGATAAAACTACTAACATGCAAGGAAACACCATGCGATTTAGGAAGCAGGCTCGACGTTTCAGAAACACAGTATGGTGGAAAAATGTGAAGCTCATGTATGTTTCCTCCTATTCTAAAGAATGACTCTTTCCATCAGTACTAAAACTGGCGTAAGATTGTTTCTGCATTTTGGTTTTATGCCTGCAACTCTGCATGTGGTGACATAAGCTGCTGAGAATTTAATTATGAAAACTATGACAATTAGACACTTATTATAACGGCCCAAGCCCACCGCTAGCAAATATTGTCCTTTTTGAGCTTTTACTTTCGATCTTCTCCTCAAGGTTTTTAAAACACGTCTGATAGGGAGAAGTTTTCACACCCTTATAAAGAATGCTTCGTTTTCCTCCCCAATCGAGGTGGGATCTCACACTTATAATTTGCCATGTGTAAACTAAATGAATAACTGCATGATTAAACTCTTAATTTAATTATGGAAAGCATGTGTTTGCTACTAACACCCCCACCAAAAAAGAAAAGTTCCTTTCAGCTAAACATTTCCTTGTACGCTCGGTTTGTTCGACTTCTGCTTATGCAAGTTTCATTTAGAAAGCATCTCAATGTCTTAAAAGATGATGATAATATTCTTGCAGGGTAATGCTGATAATTCTCCTCCTAGTGATTGCTTACTTGGTGCTGGCTTTTGTTTGTCATGGAGTGACATTGCCTACATGTCTATAATGAGAACAACAACTTATGGCCTGATAGTACTTCGTTTAGTTTGGGTTGCTCCCTCGTGTTTGCATCGATTTTCCACTGGTGTACGTTGCTCGTGCACTAACTTATCCGATTCGATAAACTCAGCTTGTCTGTGTGCTCTCCTGTATTCCTCATAATTGGGTGGTATTGATTTGAATTATATACATGTTCGTCTTCAGAAGCCATGGCTTTGACTATATTTTGTAAGTAAATTCTTAATATGAATCTATAATATTTTGATACAGAGTGAAGCTTTAGCTTTGTTGTCCACTACTAAATCTTTGATTCTGCAGGTCTCTTCTCATCATATCTGAAATGCCCTCTTGTGCTTATTTGGCTCTAGCAGCTTCAAAATGAGACTATTTTCAACTTTTTTTATTTATATAAAAAAAGGGTACGTTTTAGGGTTGAATTACAGGTCTTATTTACTTTAAATGGTTTCAATTGCATAGCTTGTTTTAAGTAATTATTTAAAGTTTGTTTTTGAAAATTTTTAAAATTAATTGATCTATTAGTTCAAATCTTTAATTAGTTTTTATTTAAGCCTATAAAATATTATTTATATATGAGTTCTGTTCAATGAAATTCATAGGTATAGGTATAGGTATAGGAAGAAACTCGGTAGAGATTTTTTCTTTTTCGACCATCTTTCGATTGTTAATACATGGTTCATGTATTCACTTACTCATGAACTCGCAGCTTAGCAGGAAACGACAAAGGGGAAAGTGTAGAAGCTTTACCCCTTGATATTGTTATAAACCGACTAATGTTATAAACCGACTAAATTGATCATTTAGCTTATCTATATTTTTAAAAAAATCAAACTAAATTTTAAAATCTTCAAAATTTAGCTAAGAAATAAATTGTTATATGATTTTAGAAATCTCTTAAATGCTTCTAAAATTAAGGGACTAATTCAACGACCTTACTAGCAAATTACCCTTAAAATATGAGTTTAAACTTCATGAAATAACGGAACTAATTTCTATCGATCCGTGATCATATAGAATATGTTACTCTCTCTATGATTGTTATAATAGGAAAAATTAACATAGCTAATATTTGAGAGAATATTTTTCCCAATGCCCAATTTTCCGAGTTCTCACTCTTCGGAGTATTTTAAATTATTGAATATTCAAATTTTCATCTTAAGAGTCTTCAAAATTTCTCAAACTATTTACTAATCATTACATGCATTACCTCCAACTGTAAAGTCTCTATGTACCTAATGTTACTGCAATGGGTACATCACCACCCATATACTATAGTAATACCAGGCCTTTACGTAGAAGGTAGAGAAAAGACTCTTATTTAGGGGTTGAGAATTTAAGCACGTTCGAGAAGTTCTATTGCTATATTAGTGCGAATATACTCTTTTCATTTAGCATTTGACTCATCGTTCGATAGCACACAACATTTTATGACAAGCAACCAATACTGACCAAACTAGATGTAATATGAAGTCACAAGTAAGATATTAAAAAAACAATGGCATACCCTATATGAGTCACCCTAGGAGGCTAAGCTCTTTCTTAAACTTCCACAGAAAGCTGTTCACATAAAGCTCCTCTATAATCGACTTCAGGGTTTCTCATTCATACTTACTTGATAACATGAAGACGAGTTCTGATCGGATTAGCTCCCTCCTTAGGCTGCAGGCTGTACGCCTTCTGTTCGTTCGCTCCTGCGTGTTCGTGTTGGAATGTGCAAGAACAATACCTGAAACTGAAACCACAAGAATTCGACCGAGCCAAACACCAGTTTCCATTTAACTCATCTAACAATCATATAGTTATCTCACATTCAGCAGTTGAAAGATTGAAACATATGAAATGAGACAACTTTCATAAAGATGATGAATGGTTAGGTACCTCCCCTTGACCAGTAGTAGGGCAAGGGAGAGCCTTTTAATGCAAAGGGCTGAATCATTGAGTGTGGGGCTAGAGATATGAGGGTTTCCCTGAAAAAGAAAGTAGCTGTGCTTTGATATCTGAGATCAATGGCCCATTTTTAGGCCATAATATCAAAGCTGAATCAAACAAACAAGTTCTGCATCTTTCTCTTTGGGAGAGGCTGGGAGTATGGTCCAATTGTTCACCTGCAGTATGTATCAGTTTTACAGAGGAAATCAACAAATACATACCGTTCTTGGGATTGATGATTGATATATCTATGTGTATATATATATATATATATATATAGAGAGAGAGAGAGAGAGAGAGAGAGAGGACCCACGTGGCATCTAGACAAGCATTGTCTTTGCAGCAAATCTTTGTATTTTTTTCACAATTACTTCATCAGAACAAACTATCCATCGTTATTTGGATTATCCTCTACAAGATTTAGTTTATTCAACAACTTCTCCAGTTCTTGCAAGGCAAGCTTATAACGTTCTTGAGATTGTGCACCTTCCTCTACAACTGGAAGGGCACAATTAAGAATGTGACTATATTGGTATGATGAACTATACATATTTGTATTACTTAGGCTCTGACCTAGGAGATACCTGCGTTTGAAATCTTTACACCACCGTGGCAGAATGTAGCGAGCGGGGATTTCTTCCACGCCGTTATAATTTAGAACATTTAACGCATGCCTGCAAAGGTAACCTTTGTAGTTGAATAAACTGCAAATGCATCGAATGTCCACTTCAGTTGTCTCATATAAGACCTCGAAATATTTTACCTCTTTCTCGTTTCCCTCAACTTCAATCCTTTCTTTGACAATGTAAGTTACTATAGGCCCATTTACACTGACCTGCCTTGTGTTGAAGCAAGAGTACATTCCTTCTACCTCAGATTGGAACTTGCTAAATATGTCTTTTGTGTACACCTTGGAGAGCTGCAATTCAAAATTACATCTCGTTTTCAACTCGAGGCTTAAATTTCTCGACTCCAGATCTGCAACTGATACTTTATGGTATTTCCTATGGAGGGCAAGATCATACTTATCGAGAAATTCCTTAAAAGATGTGTGTTTATGTACATACCCATCGAAAAACGTTTTAAAGCTCTCGTTTGCATGGATAGGGACCATTCCTGCAAAAAATATGTCTTTTAAGTATACAGGAGCCCATAATGTTCTATCTTCATACAGTGATTGGAGCCATTTATTATCTCCAAGCGCGTTGTGCTTGATCATATTAGTCCACGAAATTTCAAATTCAGCTATCTTCAATGAGCTAAAAATGGTTTTGTTCAATTGGCTTCTTATTGTTTCATATCCTTTCAATCCACCCAACTTTTCTGGTACTCTTTGCATGATATACCACGTAGAATAACAGTGACAAGCTTTAGGGAAAACTTCAGAGACTGCAGCTACCAGTGTTTTATTTTGGTCAGTAATGATGACCTGTGGAGAGCATCCCAGCATGCATTGAAGCCATGCCTTCAAAATCCAAACAAAACACTCCACTGATTCAAAGCCAACAAAGCCACATCCTAACAACACTGATTGCCCATGGTGGTTCACACCGACGAACGAAATCAGAGGAATCTCGTATCTGTTTGTTAAGCATGTTGTGTCTATAGTGATGGTATCACAAAAGTAACTATATGTAGTCCTCGACCGGGCGTCTGCCCAAAACACATTTCTCAAGTGCCCATCATTGTCAAGATCCATCAAGTAAAAGAAATTGGGATTTGTCAATTTCATGCGGCAGAAATAATTATACAGTGCATGTCCATCCCCATCTTTAAGTTCCAAGTGTTTCAAGTGATCAACGGAACTGATACCCTCTCTTTGGTCAACATTTGAGCATCCACTACAACCATTGAGAGTAGTTGATCTATACAGCTTGATGGTATGAACTTCGGTTACAGGATGCAGCTGTGGCTGTGCTTTCTTCGCAGCAAGAATCATCTTTTTATGTGACTTGTAAAATCGAGTGATTTGTGGATTCACTGGATGGTTGTGTTCAAGCTCCACTTCAACTATTCTCCACCTTTTGGTGTCAACCAGCCTAATAATTATCATTGCAGGACAACCAGTTCTAGTTTCCGGCCTTGGATTGTTGGCTTCACTCTTTTTCTTAAATCCCGCACTGCTGCAGCTAAGTTTAGCTCTATATCGCTCCTTTCTCTTAGATCGGAACCACGAATTACTGACTCTGATGCCAAATCCCAGTTCCTTAGCATAAACGTTATAGAAGTCATATGCCTCATCAAAAGAATCAAACTCCAAACCTACTGTTGGCAGTGGAGGATTCTTCTTTGACTGTGCTTCCCCAGATTCGTTACCATTGTCCACGAAGGCACCATCGCCATCCACCTCATACTCGTCACATTCATCAAAGATAGGCTCACTATTAAGACAGACTTCCTCCATCTGAAAGAAAGATCTCACATAATCATAGTTTTGCAGCCGTAGGCCGTTGGGTACATTTAGAAACAACGAGAACAAATTATCCAGAAAGCAAACATGACAAAGTTCAATAATCAAATTTTGTGGTTATATATGGTATAACTAACTGAATTATGAATCCCCTAACACAGAGCCATCGTACGTGTACATCATCGGACTATATAATTCCAAAAGCATGTAACTGATGGCATTTGCCCCAGGCTTCTCTTGAGGGTTTTACTTACAATATGCAAATATATGGGGCCTTGTGATACATGAGATTCAATATATATTTTTTATATCTTGGCCACATGAGACACTTGGGTTTGAGGAACCGACGAAACCTGAACCTACTTGTTTCACAGGATAACGTTCACGAATAGTTCTCTCAATTGTTAGAGATAAATCACGTTAAAACTGAGCATGTAGGTAGAGAACTTACATTTCAACCTGTTTCACCCTTCATCTTTTATATTCACTGCTTAATACTTGGCCCTCGTGAATATGAAAAAGACCAATATCAAACTCCATGGCTAACCTTCAAGATAGTCTCGTTTCAATCAATGCAATTGTAGATAGCAAGCATTCAGAGTACTAAATTGATTTGCAAAATTACGAATAACGTTATCTTCATTCAAGCAAATTTGCACTGTTTATAAAGCTAACTGCTAAATAAATCACTCTTCTAGTAACCTTGAAATTATAATCTTCTCATTAAGCAACTGCAAGTCTACATCTCAATTTATCAGTTATGCCAAAACAATAGACGCTCATAATTACATCAACAACGTCATAAAACTTGACGTGCAAGCATGAGAATCGCTGAAAGGCAATCCAAGTAAATGAGACAAAATGTCGTAATCATTTCTTTTTATATGTTTGCGAATAAACAGACTTTTCCGCTCTTTTGTCGACAAAAATTTCAACAATTGCAAAAGTTACTCCACCAGATTTTCAAAATCGTCCAAACAAACCGAATTCATAGAGCCCTATGAGAGGAGCATTTTCAATCAATTCAATGCCCTAATTACTGAAATTATGCAGCGATATATTGAGAATCACGGTGATCTTACAGAATCGACGGAGGATAACCGGTGCGGAGCAGAATTCGCCACGATTTTGAAGCCCAGTTGATCTACCGAGCTTGGTCCGCTGGGAAGAAGCACGAGTGGAGCTCCCAAACGCCTCGAGTAATGGGGATTCTTTCAACTCAATGAGCTGACACGTGGTCTACTGTTCATTTTCATTCTATTTATTTTCAGGTCCTCGCATTTTCACTTATTTCCAAATAGTGCCCAGATTTTCATCCATTTATATGGACGTCCCACAAATTTTATGTAATTGTAATTTTAGCTAAATATATGGTTTAATGTCCAAAGTTTTGTTTTTTAGGGTTAAATAAAATTTCTAAATCTAACTTTAGTTTATAACAATATAGTCCCTGAATTTAAATTTTTTTAACATTGTAGCCCTTCTACATTTTAATATGTAATAGTTTAATTCTTATTACAATGGATCGTTTGTGATGTCCTACATTGGTTAAGGAGGAGAACAACCCACCATTTATAAGGGTGTGGAAACCTTCCCCTAACGCGTTTTAAAGCCTTGAGGGAAGCCCAAGAAGGAAAGCCCAAAGAGAACAATATCTGCTAGCGGTGGGCCTGGATCATTACAAATGGTATCAGAGCCAAACACGAGGAGGTGTCCCAGTAAGGATGCTGGATGCTGGCCCCAAAGGGGGTGGATTTGGGGACGGTCCCACATTGATTGGAGGAAGGAAAGAGTGCCAGCGAGGACGCTAGGCCCCGAATGGGGGTAGATTGTGATGTCCCACATTGGTTGGGGAGGAGAACAAACCATCATTTATAAGGGTGGGGAAACCTTCCCCCAGTAGGCGTTTTAAAGCGTTAAGGGGAAGCCTGAAAGGGAAAGCCCAAAGAAGACAATATCTGCTAGCGGTGGGCCTAGGTCATTGAAAGGGAAAGCCCAAAGAAGATAATATCTGCTAGCGGTGGGCCTGGGTCCTTGAAAGGGAAAGTTTAAATAAGACAATATCTGCTAGCGGTAGATCTGGGTCATTACATCGTTGGTCGAGATTATGTGGCACTTTTTACTAAGGCAAAGTTGCCTGGTTTGTTTTAATGATTATAGATTGGTTTGTGTTGGTAGGTCTGCACAAACTTTTTGGTTGATTAAAAAAAATTCGTCCAAATATATATAATTAAAATTTTAATTATAAGATATTGAATTGAATATGTTTTTTTTTAATTAAATTTTAATTATACTCTCGTAAATTCTAAATTTTATGTAACACGGAACGACTTGTTTGAACGTTTGAAAATTACTGATTTTTACAGTCGTTACTCTACGTTTTGGATTAATAACGGCTTTTCTGGTTTTAATTAGGGTTTTGCTCGTTTTCACATTTTTCACACTAACCTTATATAGTAAAGCTATGCATTGATGGTCAGCCACTGCATGAACGCTGATTTTTAGTAGCTCTCGACATGAAAAAAATACTAAAACTAACAAATGCGTTTAATGTGACTACCTCAAATTCCACGCCTCGTTAAGCTCGTGATTCGTTTTGTTTTTCAGTTCAGGCTTTAAAAGCAAGACGTTTAAACGTTTTGCCTAAAGCTATGGTACATATCAATTACCGCAAGGTTTTGCTCGTTTTCACGTTTTTTTTTTCTCACTAACCTTATATGGTAAAGTGCCTCGTTAAGCTCGTGATTCGTTTTGTTTTTCAGTTCAGGCTTTAAAAGCAAGACGTTTAAACGTTTTACCTAAAGCTATGGTACATATCAATTACCGCAGGGTTTTGCTCGTTTTCACGTTTTTTTTTCTCACTAACCTTATATGGTAAAGTGCCTCGCTAAGCTCGTGATTCGTTTTATTTTTCAGTTCAGGCTTTAAAAGCAAGACGTTTAAATGTTTTACCTAAAGCTATGGTACATATCAATTACCGCAGGATTTTGCTCGTTCTCACGCTTTTCCACACTAACCTTATATGGTAAAGCGATGCACTTGATAGTCTCCCAATGCATGAACACTTATTTTTAGTAGCTCTCGACACATAGAAAAAATAAAAATTTTAGGAGTTAGAATAATGACTAAATAATGCAAAGTCGGTGAAACCACAAGGATCACCGTCCTTCCATTAAAAATCTCTAAATGCTAACGCGGTACAACTGAGACGGAGGATCTCGGCTACGTGCATCCTACATCTGGGCCAAAAAAAAAAAAAAAAAAACCACGAGCATAACTCAATCATAATCATCACATTTTCTTTCTCTAAGGTCGAAAATTTAAATCTCGTTACTTCACATACGAGATATTAAAAAAACACGTCACACGAGAAATCAGTAGTGTTAAATGAACACGACCCTTCACAATGGTATGATAGTATTTCTTGATTATAAACCCATGATCATTCTCTAAATTAGCCAATGTGGGACTTTCATCTAACAAATAGAATACCTCACGAACAGTGGAGAAAAAGGGGAGTACGATACTCTCGTAATAAAAATTGTTCCCCAAAGAACGTTTAGCTAAATTTTTTTTTTATGTAAACACGAGTATAGTTTAATTAATTTATTTAGACATATTTTATCGATGAAGAGGTCAGAGGTTCGAATTTTTATACAAATAAGAAGATGGGGAGAAAAAAGGGAAAGAAAAAAGGGGCGCAAGTTAGCAAGGAGTATATCATGCGCTTGTCATTGTTCAAAGCTTCACTGTTGTTGCCCTCTAATTTTGTTTATAAATAATGTTGGCTCTGAGTCTCTCTCTCTATTCATTTTCTTCTTCTTCGTCTTCAATTTCTCTCAACGTGAATTTGATAAAACGAAAAAAACAGCAAAAATTAAAGGGAAAACCAAACGAACGAACAAAGCCCTCAAAAGAGAGAGCAAAATGAAGCAGAGTATATCTGAGGCAGTATCTTCATCCACCACGGGATTGACGGAGCAATCTCAATCCTCGTCGTCGTCGTCGTCGGCGACGTTGGAGAAGTCCCAATCCATATCGGCTGCGGCGGCGGCGGAGGATTTGGCCGTAGGGTCGAGAGATGGCGGCGGGGCGCAAGAAACGGTGACTGTCGATCGGCGGGGGGATTTCTCTGCCGTGTGTAGATGGACAGTACAAAATTTCCCGAGAATCAAGGCTAGGGCTCTATGGAGCAAGTACTTCGAGGTCGGAGGTTACGATTGCCGTCTGTTGATATATCCAAAGGGGGATTCCCAAGCGCTACCGGGGTATATTTCAATCTACCTTCAAATCGTGGACCCGCGCGGTACATCGTCGTCCAAATGGGATTGCTTTGCGAGCTATCGTTTGGCTATCGTCAACGTTCTCGATGATTCGAAGACCGTTCATCGGGATTCTTGGCATCGATTCTCTAGCAAGAAGAAATCTCACGGATGGTGCGATTTTACTCCCTCTTCCACCGTGTTTGATTCTAAGCTTGGCTATTTGTTTAATAATGAGTCCATTTTGATCACTGCTGATATTCTAATCCTCAATGAGTCTGTAAACTTTACCCGGGATAACAATGAGCCAGCCTCATCTATGATGATGGCATCATCGGTTGTTGCTTGCCCTGTGCCTGAGGTGCTCAGCGGCAAGTTCACCTGGAAAGTTCATAATTTTAGTTTGTTTAAAGAAATGATAAAAACCCAGAAAATAATGAGCCCCGTGTTCCCAGCTGGCGAGTGTAATTTGAGGATTAGCGTCTATCAGAGCTCAGTTAATGGGACTGAGTATTTATCAATGTGTCTAGAGAGCAAGGATACCGAAAAGACGGTAATATTACCTGATAGGAGTTGTTGGTGTTTGTTTCGGATGTCCGTGTTGAACCAGAAGCCTGCTTTGAATCACATGCATCGAGACTCATATGGGAGGTTTGCAGCTGATAATAAGAGTGGGGATAATACCAGTTTGGGGTGGAATGACTACATGAAGATGTCTGATTTTGTTGGGCAAGATTCTGGTTTTTTAGTTGATGATACCGCTGTGTTTAGTACCTCTTTTCATGTGATCAAGGAATTTAGTAGTTTTTCGAAGAATGGTGGATTAATTGGTGGTAGAAATGGGAGTGGAATTAGGAAATCAGATGGTCACCTAGGCAAATTCACGTGGAGGATTGAGAACTTCACAAGGTTGAAGGATCTTTTGAAGAAGAGGAAGATTACAGGTCTTTGCATCAAGAGCAGGAGATTCCAGGTGGGGAATCGAGACTGTCGTCTTATTGTTTATCCTCGAGGTATGCCTGAACTTCTTCCCAAAAACTTATGCTACGAACATGAAACCAAAATTATATTCAAAAGAGGATGAGATTTCCTACAGGCTACAAGAAAGTAAGAAAAAGAAACTCAAGCATCTAGAATTGTATGCCATATATATTGTATCTGTTAATGATATATAATTCCGTGTTTAAAACATTTGTAGATTTCTCTTAGTAGTTTTGAACTCTGTTTGACATTCTAGCCTGCTGTGGCTGAGGAGTGCATAATTTTTTTGTTCTTTATCATGGTCCTTTCAGCTGAACTTATTTCAAGCACGTCTTGCTGCGCATGATGTGTCTGCTTTGAGATCAAAAAATGTAGATGCCTCATGTCTGGTCTGAAGTTAAAAATTTATTGATGGACATAGCTATCAAGGTGAAAAACATGAAATGCATGCGGGTCATAGTTACACGAACTCTCCATATCTTCTTGCTGGAAATGGTTTGAGTTGAGACAATATATGGTTAGACCATGATAGATGTCTCTGATATCATTGTTATTCTCTCCATATTTGTGGAGTTGCATGTTAAGTTGATTAGCAATTTAACTGGACACATATATTGTAGTTTATTGTTAGTCTTTGTTTTAGGACACGTTGATTAAATTGCTCTTTCTACTTGCTGGTATCAGGGCAGTCTCAACCACCATGTCACCTTTCAGTCTTCCTTGAAGTTACGGATTCAAGAATCACTTCCAGTGAGTGGAGTTGTTTTGTGAGTCATCGGTTGTCAGTTGTGAACCAGAAGATGGAAGAGAAGTCTGTTACAAAGGAGTCCCAAAACCGGTACTCCAAAGCTGCAAAAGACTGGGGATGGCGTGAATTTGTCACACTTACTAGCCTCTTTGATCAGGATTCCGGTTTTCTCGTTCAGGATACTGTAATATTCTCAGCAGAGGTTCTTATATTAAAGGAGACATCTGTGATGCAGGATTTTATTGACCAAGACGTGGAGACGACTGGTTCCAGCTCTGTGATGGATAAGGTAGCAAAAAAAAGTTCATTTACATGGAAAGTGGAGAACTTTTTGTCCTTCAAGGAAATAATGGAGACCCGTAAA